TAATAGAAATTAGCTACATATATTTGAATTGACCTTTTACTTTAATGATACACTTCATGTTTATCTACTCTTAAGACTGTCTCTGTTGAGTTATACGAATAATTCGAAATGTCCAATTTGTATTTTACAAACTAAAGTATGGAGACCAAAATTCAATTGCTAGGATTCTGTAAAAATATGATTTGTGCGGCCTTCAAAAATACAGGAAGAGCGCTTGATTTTGAAATCCATTTTCAAGGATTTGAAAACGCTGGTTTTGCACATTTCAGGTTGAAGATCCCTCCGAGTAGTGTCAATTCTGAGTTGGGTAGCTAGAAATTTCGTCCTGAAGGGTTAATCAAAACTTGCTCATAGAAGAGAGATCCAATGAAAGAAAAATCCTGAAAATTTGGGAACTCCCGTCATTTTTGGTTACACCTTTGTTTCCATCCTACCTATTAAGTCCTATATCATTCCATCAGTATTCTAAAAGTACGTTTCCCTCCTCTCGTTGAAAGCTCAATTTTTCTTGCAATTATGCTCTTTTTCTCTTCTATTCTTGTAATGGACTTTTGTAAAAAATCAATTTCATGGTAGGAAACGTCTTAAGGATTGATTGACTTGTTCATCATTCCCATTTTCTTGGTCGTAGCCATCTTTGTTAAGCCTCAGATACCAAACGTACTATGGTATAAAAAACATTTGTCTCCATTTTTAGATGAGTGGCCAGTTCAGCTCAGAACCAACTTATAATGTTAGTTCATCTTGGACCACCTTGGCCATTCAAGGCTTCTCACTCTTTCTCTCCTCCCCCCCCCCCCCCCCCCCCNTTAGTGGATATCCACTAGACCAGGAAATTCAAAATTCAAAATCCTCATTCTTCTATTTTTGCACCTCTAAGCCCATTCCAGGATTCAGTTTTTAAAAGGTATTTATTTATTCCACTGTTTTTTGTCTGGGCTGCATAACATGGCATTGAAGCCCAACTGCACTTGGGGATGCCTAGCCTCTGAAATTAGCTTTCTTAAAAAGAACTGAGGTATCAAAATTTTAAAGTAGGTCACTCATTTTAATTGTTATATTTTCATGCCTTCAATCATGTCGGCGTTTGTAAATAAAACTTCAAGAGAAGGTTCCCATGCAATAATTGTGTTGCCCTGACGAGCGTCCTATATTTTTGTATAATAGCACCTATTTTTTCACGCTTCTGTACAGATTCAATTCTTTCCCTTGTAAATGGAAGAATTCATTGTATCCTGTACATAGAATTGGTGGTTTCGATGCAAATTCGACAAGTCTATTTTTAGAATGGGAATAGTAATTTTGCCTGTTTCTGTCTTGTTTTGTTTGAATTTTTGTTACCATTAACCTCACCATGCGCACCGTTTGGCGCGGATGAAAATGTTGATTAATTTTGCGTTCGAAGCCCCTCTGCCTTTTTGAGCTCATTATAGTCTATTTAAAGTTAATTTTCTGCTCAGCCCACTGGTTATTGTTATTATTGTACATGTTTTTTTCTCATCTGACATCTTGTCCAAGTCGCAGCATTTCAAATCGTGGAACTGTCCTGTTTTCAGATGTCATTAAGTAGAACAAATCCATCTGCAAGGAGAGATTTGAAAAATGAGTTTCCTCTAAAATAATGTTATGTCGCCCTGCTAACAAAAAGCACACAGCCTACACTATGGTGCTAAAGAAAAAAGCTGTATGAACATCCGGATTTTGCTCAATTTCTCCCTGTGAAACATTCAATTTGGAGGAAATTTGGACCGCGTTAAACACAAAGGAACCAAGCCACATCAGCTATTGCCAAATTTCATTGAGCAATTTAATTTCATGCATGTAACAGTTGTGCGGATTGTTTTGCAAATTTCAGTGAATTTTCTCCACTGTACGAAGCAAATTCCTCAAAATTTTCAAAGTAATCCGCGCAAACCCTCTCTTGTGAAAGATTTAATTGTCCAGTTAAATTTGGCAATAGCTGATGTGGCTTGGTTCCTTTCTGTTAAATGTGGTCCATTTAAGAAATATGTTTTCTGGAAATTGTCAGCTATTGTAGATTAATTTCCATGTGAAGTTCTCCAAAAATAGAAAGAAAAATATACGATAGTTTCTTTGGAAAATCGTAACTTATCAAAAGAACTTTGTCAACGCCTGAAGGCTCATACAGCGTTTTTCCTTAGGATGAATATACAAGAAGTAGGCTTCTAGAGATAATCAACCGTAGCATTGGCCCATTCTCATAGTCCCATGGATTTGTTCTGTGTTTATCCTCCTTTTTCACATGTTAATATTTCAGTTCTCATATTATTTTTGCATAATATTGTTCTCCAAATGTACAGATGAGATTTTAAAATCCAATGACCTATGGTAAATACCAAGTTCTCTCTGTTATTTTGTGCTTTTTCCCAGCAGATGAGTTTTGACAGTATGTTATCTGAAGCTCCCCTTGTGAACTGCGCTTTCCACCATAATGACATTCAATTGGATTCTGATTGTGTTTAAATGCTATCAATCTTATGTTCATGGTTACAGGATTGTAGCTTAGTTTAGCTTGTTTGTTCCAATCCTGCAACTTGAGTCAAATGGTCTAATTTTAATTGATGCCAATTATTAGTTTGATGTCCATTGTTTTTCTCAGAGCAGTAATGAGAACTGCTATTGAAATATATGCCAGACTCGTTTTCTTCAGCAGTACGCTCTAATTGGGCATTTTACTTCCTCCTTTTTTTATAAACACCAATGTGTGGTTTGCTGCTATATATTTGGCCGGTGAAACACGAATGAAGGACAGCTTTCATGTCTTTCGTGATTCACCAGATGTTGATATCTGTCCCTTATAAAAGTTTGTAGACCTCCTACTTTTATCATAATTCAATTTGCACACAATGTATGTATCCTTCATCGTTTATGCAGGGTAAATTTTAAAAACCAAGGGATCATTCATGTAATCGTTTAAACAAGCCATTCAGAAAAATAAATACCCCTGTAGTATATTTGCTCCACAGAGATCTTTGTCTCGCTCGATATCATCCAATTATGTCTCGCTCTAAATCATCTAAAGTCGTCTGTATACCTGTAAAATTATTGACTTTTTAAAATCACATATTAGCTAAGTGAGAGGATAATTAATTAAGCAAGTTTACCTATTTTTTTTCTCTGAAACCATAAATACTAGAAGCGAATCCAAACCAGTATTGAAACAGATATATCTTAGAAAAAGAGATTATGAGCTAAAGGCCTTGTCCACTTGAGGTTCGAGGAATTTCGGGCGAACTTGTTATAACTCACCCATAAGTTGCTCCTGGAACCCCCAGTTTGCGGAACTAATTCGTCCAAACTGCGCTCGTGTGAACAAGACCTAATGAAACAAACCACCTCTGTCAAGATATTTCCCTCTACTATGCCAGTTTCTCAGCTGCAGAACTTTTGTTTTTGTTTTTTTTTTCCACCTCCTCATCCTTGTAGAGCTTTCAATTTATCTGAGGGTTTCTGATCCCCTTGAAACTCCTAAACCATAATTCCCACCCTGTGCATTTTAGGAAGACCAGTTATTGGCTTCAAAATATAAGCATAACAACCTGTTGCTAGCAAGTGCAGCAACTGGTCTCTGTTTCTTTATTTTCCGCAAAACAAAAAATATTACTTTTTGCTTCCTCTGTTTTATTCCTTAACTTGTATGGAGCTATTATGATTTTAAAACATTGTCCAGCATTTTTTACTAACTCCATCAAATCACTAAATTATAAGGCAATCAAGTTTTGTTTTGTTACGTGTAGTTATGAATCTTTCATTTATTTTTAACTAGAATATATCTGTTCTTGTTTACTTTTTTCTTCTTTTCCTAGACAACCTCTTTGCTTGTTAACTGCATCACATTATTTATTTTGTATACTCGAACTTTTTGCTGTTTGTACATCACGGTGTTAAGTTTTTATCAAGCCAAAATGACCTTCGGCTAAGAAAAAGTATTATGTATACTTTATTTTTGGAGGGAAGAAAACGGGATGGTTAGCATCGATTTGATTTTAAAATATTGCAAATACACATTTGTGTATTTATTCTTACTTTTTTCTCTCACATTGCTTTTTTAGCAATATTTATTATTCACGCCACTACTTTTAAAGTCTAGTTAACAGATCAATTTTGAAATCAAATTTTTTATTTATTGCTCCTTGAAAGTAAAATATAAAAATTATAGAAAGTATTTATCAAATTTCATGAGTTCTGCTAGACAGACCAAACTGACTAGTTTTCAAATTTTTTTATTCATCCCAAATTGATTATAAATTAAACTCAATTTGATGAAATATATTTTTATTTATTTTTCGGTGCCTATTAACAATTTCGAGTCTTAAAATTTTGAAACAAAATGGCTCAAAGATGCTGCTTCAAAGAAAAAGAACCCTAATGGTTTTGCACGATGACCTAAATTTGGTCCCAAAGTAACACAATTCATGAAAGAACTTGTGACTACCTTTTTGAATTAGTCCCATCTGTGTCATAATTTTGATCTACTTTGTAAGCGTTAAAACGTATCCTCTACCATTGTTTTTAATCTCTTGTCTATCCTATCGTCCATGCAGTATAGCAAATGTATTTTCGTATTTAATCATTTACTTGCGCTGAATATTATGATTTTAATTAAAGTGTTATATTTTTGTTTAACTGGTGTTTCTATTTCAGTCCTCTAAAATCCTGATTCAACTTTCTTTTTCGATTTTTGCCGTGTAATTATAGACGGTGAAATTGTGAAACCTGGTTTCTCCTTTTGCTACGCTACAGACTTAATTTGCTGTTGTACTTCTTCTTTTTTTTTTCTGAATATATCCAAAGTAATTCTTGAAAACTTCCTTGATTTTTCTTCTCTGCCAGCGGAATAATCTGTATCAATTTCAAGTAATAAAGTTGACTTGTTTCTCTTCCAAAAACAAAACAGGAACAGACATTTTGTAACTTTGCAATGGAGATGTGTGGTCTGTGACTGCAGCCATTGATGTTTTGACAGAGTTCAACTGGAAATTACCGATTTGCGTATTAGATACAAATAAGTGAAAATAAAAAATTCCAAATTGAGTTTCAAAATTTGTATGTGAAAATAATCTTTAAACTTTTTCCTTCATACTGAATCTCAAGAAGGAATAATTCTTCCAACCTCGTTTTCTTGTTTCAAACTTTATGTGGTTTGGTGTATTTCTATTAAACCCTGTCCATGTTATCATTTCCCAAGCGATACATATGGCCAGAAAATATTACCTATATCATAAAAAGGAGATTTCTATTTACAAATGGTCGCCTAGGAAGAAATATTGCTAGGCTGATATTCACAAAAAACATTTCTAGGAGTCAGAGATGAGATGGAATTTTGCAAGAGAGTAATCCGATGCAGCGATTGAAAGAATTGCTTGTCATAGGAATTCGGATACTCCTTCAAAGTGTTGAAAAAGAAGCTTCTACCATTCTATCTTACAAATTCTTCAGTTGCAGATAGGCAGGGGTTTTTCCAGTCAGCAAAATGAGAAAATAAAAGAGAGGGAATGAGGTGACAGAGAGATGAGAGAAAATAAAAAGATGGATAATTTCTATTTTTACATTCCCTTCTTTAATATTTAAAAATATGTGAGACATCTTAATCTTGGTATCTCGACGAGGTTAGGTACTTAAATTAAAGTGAATAAAAAATCAGTCTCATTGAGAAAGTAGAAATAAAAGCTTTAACAGTTTTAATTATTAAAAATTAACAAGAGCTGTCTTTGTAGGTACGTACATAATATCTGTGAATAATTTTTTTTGTTAATTAGATTTATCATCAACCACACATTGCACATAACTTTCTAACTTCTGAGAAAACGAATCTGCGGAGTAGAGTTCATCAAATCTCTTCCTACCTTTCAATCCCATGGACTGTGATAGATTGGGATCATTAATAAATTTTTTCATTGCCTCTGCAAATGAATTAGAATTATTATCACATAGAAATCCGGTCTCTCCATCAACAACTGTTTCAGTTGGCCCACCACTGTTTTGAGCTATGACAGGTTTATTTAAGAACATTGCCTCGATAGGAACAATGCCATAATGCTCATTTGGTGGCGTGTAAACTATACTCACACAATGTTTCATCAAAGATACCTTCTCTTCATTTGAAATTGATCGTAGAAAGCAAACGTGTTCTTTGACGTTACTCGTTTCGCATAATGCTGAGAGCTCATCATAATGTTCAACATTTTCTAACAGCCTAGTGTCATATCCCCCGGCGACGATCAAGTAAACCTTTTTCATTGTAGATTCAGGAAGACTCTCTTTCAATTGTTTCAAAGCTTTGATTGCAAGATCTATGCTTTTCTTGCGCTCATAGCGATTTATCGACAAGAATACAGTGGCATCACTGGGAAAGTCTGGATTTTTTAAAATTTGTTTCAGCGGTAGGCAGCTGATTGTTTCACTGAAATTTTCTATTGGAATTGATGGATAGAGAATATCAGGTGTGCTCTTAATTGTCTTAAATGTTTCTTTGAAAACTTTTTGAGTATATTTGCTGTTAACCAAGATAATACTAGCCTTGGCAGTTGTTTTTTCTTCAAGCCAGTTCAAAGGAAAACGATACAGAGCTTTTAGCCTTCCACCAGCTTGACTCAACAATAGGTCCGGATGATGACAGTAAAATATTACGGGAATGTGACCAAGTTTTAGAACAGGGATACAAACAGAGACTAAATCACAGAATACAAGAAGAGGTGCAAGATTGCTGAAAAATACAATGTAAAATGCTGCGTATATCATTCGCAAGTATGCGCACAACGCAAAAAAGTAGCCAAAAATATTCCTTGGTAGCCAATCGCCGACAACAATCACTTCGAATGTTCCATCTACAGTTTCTTTAAAACAATGAGAGCGATCGTGGTGAGTTGTCACGAAGCAAACTTCGTGATTCCTCTTCTTCAAAGCTAAAGCTGCATCGACAACCAGTCTTTCAGCCCCTCCAATTCCAAGATCAGGGTGCAAAATCACAATCCTTTTGGATGACATGATGAATGGGACGGAGATTTTTCAAATTAAGATAAATGTCACTCAGGGGCACTGGTCAAATTTGGTAAATTCATGAAAATTCTATGTGACTTTTGTAGCTAAACACTGAACTGATAAGACACATCCCCTGAGACAGCCGAACACATTGCAGCGTTAGGTAGACAGAAGTATCGTCACTATTATATATTCTGATGAAATATGATTACGTGGGGAAAATTGGAACGAGTGTCACGCAGAGAAAATAAGTTTATTTCACAGACACCGCACTGATAATCCGATGCAACCGAAGCTCTTTCTTTCATGAGTCGAGTTGGCGAAGTTTGGAAGTTAGGTTATGTTTGAAATTACATTCATATGTAAACAAAAACAAACTGCTCTCTGTTATCACCACCAGCACGTGTCAGATAAATGTAGAAATAATTATTGTTGGTGGTTTGTTACTTCGTGTAATTTACTTTTTCAGTGATTTATCCTGTTTCTCGCAGTGTTTTAAATGGCAGGAATCAATTTTCCTCGTCCTTCAGCATGTAACAACCGCGAATTTTATAATCCAGAGATGAGTTATCCATGTCCAGAACGTGGTCGTCAAAAAAAGAAGGTAAGCAAAAGCAAGCAGCCCCTTTCAATGCACTATTAAAACAAAGGTCTTGGCCTCTTACTTTTATGAAAGAAAACTAGAAAGAATAACTTTCAGCCCGAGTGAGAGAATAATGTCACCTCCTGGCCAAAGTATCACTAGCGCCATGCAACGTTTAAAAATTTCTGCTGCCATATTAATTTTTTACAGTGTAACTACTTGTTGAACATGTTTGAACATTTCACTGATTTTCTTTGTGCTGCCGATAACATTCAGTAAAATTTCCAGAAAGCTTCAACGAGTAGTCTCACTGTAAAAAATTAAATAGGCAGGGGAAATGTTTCAACGTCGCATGACACTTGTGATATTTTGGCCAGAAGGTGACAATACAACCTCTGGTTGATTAGATGAAGGATCCCCAACCCTAGTAGTAGTGATCGCGATAAATAGCGTTTTTAATGGTTGGTTATCGCGATTATATCGGTGGCAATATATCGAGATATTATCACATGAAAAATCTCGATAAATGGCGATTAAATCGCAATTTTTGTCGATAAAATCAAGATTGAATTGCCATTTATCGTGATTCTTATTTCTAAAATATTGCGATAAATTGTCGGGCAATAAATGCGCGATTTTATTGCGACAAGATTGAGGATAATCGCTCGGATGTTGATGATCCTGGCGATTTTATCGACGATGAAATTGCAATATATAGCGATTTTTCCGTTGAGGAATGCTACTTGGGAAGGATAACTTGAAATAGTAGATTTTTTGTGCTGTAGTCTGCAGAAAAGCATGGTAATTAAAGAGTTATTTTGTAGTTTGTTCGAGACTCTGAGGAACAGTTTTAACTTAATTTAATCAGTGCGCATGTTAAGAGCAGAAGCTGATACAGGGGACATTGAAATTTGCCTGCAGACTGATTATTGAAATTTTGTGTTTGTCGGGCGGAGATAGATGACATCGGTTCAATGACGTAGCATGATCGGTCAGCTGTGTCTTATCTCTGCTTTGTAGTGTCTATGTCTAGTATAAAGAACAACTTACTGTCGGAAACTGAAGAAGTGCCTCTTGCTTGCTGTTGATCCCACCTGACATAGGCACGACGAAGCAGCGATAAGACATAGCCGACCAATCACACTACACCATTTAACTTAAATCAAATAATTGGCCTGCTGGGCTGACTTGGGGTTTGCCCGTGAACTTGTGGGTAATGAGTCGCGATCTTTAAAAATTGTGTTTTGTATACTTGAAAATTGAAGATTGTCATTTCCAGTGTCGTATGTCAGTCATGTATCTTTGTTATCTTTGTACCCCCACTAAAAATATGGAGCCCAACCTGTATTTTAGGACCTGTATGTACCTATATGTGGCCCAGGTGTCCCTCTGAACAGCCCACGATCGGCTGCATCTGATGAATGAGTGTCAGAGAGATAGAAGACAAAACAACGCATGGGCCAAGATGAGTTGAGCGTTGGCACCCGCTCACAGGCTTGTTCTCTACGGCTCTCTTAAAAAAGCAACCAAGTGGTCTTGCCATTGAGAATTCGCATGATCACCGTGCAGAATGTTTACAAACCAACGACCGCAAACTGCATAGACAGTGGGAAAATTGCGTAGTCACCTTCAATGAGGGATGATGTAAAATGTATTACGTTATGATCAAAATGCGCTCCAATTTTTTTCTTTTCTTTTTTTTTTCTACAGGCTTCAAATAGCCCCTATTGGCTAATCCCACGCTTACCACTAGCCCCAGGTGACCATCAGGTCATACCTGGCCGGGAATCGAACCGGGGAATTTTGCGTATACCTCCCGAACTTCCAAAGTTCTATACGCGTGCTGCCGTAGTACTCATTTCCAAATAGCGTACGCACCTGCCGAACCGCTCGCTATTCTTGAGTCAGGACTCCAAGAGGAGACCAGGTTCCTTTGAGGGGGAGCGCAATGCTTGAAGTACTCCTTCAATTTTCAGGCGCTTCCCAGGGCCGGATTAAGGAGGTAACCCCATGGCGGCTTTAGGGGGCGGCAAATTTTGCACTTTTTTTAAATGTAGGTATAAAAAAATCGGATTCATAAAAAAATTATCAATGAGAAAAGGGGACGAAATCTCTTTTTCCTGAGAGTATAGTCATTTCTAATTTTGTCGTCTTTTGGTGATACAAAAAATAGCATCTTTAAGTAATTAGTAAAGTGAAGAGAGGAACTGAACACGCAATTTGGCGTGGAGTTCAACGCAGAGAGGAATGATGACGAGGACTTGAGATGAAAAAGACAAGCCCTCGGCGCGGCGATCGGCATGTAACACATATTAGCGCCTACAAGACTGCATGGATACTTCACCCATTGCGCCAAACACAGTGCAGTCAGGAGCGCGGAGCGGTTGGCGTGAAACGTATAGCGCCTACAAGACTGCAGGAATACTTCTCGCATTGCGCCAATCACAGTGCGATCACCGCGGCTGCGGGAGCGGAAGTAAAAATTATTAAACCACAATTATGTTTGTTCTTTCATAATTTTTTGGTTCATTTCTTATATAGAGATAGGTTTACGGAACTTACCTTTCGCGCAAAGTTCCGTGAAATTTTGCTACTAGTGTTGACAGAGCTTCAGCAAAAAATGTATCAAACACGAGTAGGTAACCGCGTCTCATGCACCCCTCCCTCTCCGGCACGTTCACTTGATGGTTTTTATTGATGTTTCAAAACGAATGAGAAGGGGGCGGCAAATTACAGGCGGCCCATGGGCGGCAAGTAGGTAAATCTTAGTAGTAGATAGATAAGTAGGCCCTGCCCTGGCGCTTCCCGCGATCTTTTTCGCGCTAAGTTCAAAGTTTTAGAAATTTTGTTATAAAAGATGTGGACTCGAGGTCCCCGTCAAATCCGGTCTCAATTACGAAGCACCAAAACTTTCCTGCAGATCTTCAAAAATGAAAAAGAGTCTTTTATCCGCTGACTCGGAGATGTGAACGCAGAGTAATAAAGTCGGGTCAGGCGATATGCGTGATACAATTATTTCGACTTCCTAGTAGGTAAAATTGCATATCCACGAGTTGCAGGAGAATTTGAACTCTTCCGGCTGACTCCGAGACTTTAATGCAGAGTAGAAAAGTTGGATGGGGCGAAGCACGTGATACAAATATGTTGACTTCCAAGTAGATAAAATTGCATATCCACAAAACAAACGAGAACATCGTGCTCTACATCATCCCAACAATTCGGCTTTTCAAACCCAACTTTTAGTTCGTGTAACAAAACTTATGAAGTTTAAAGAGCTGATGGAAGAAGTTCAGTTACTCGAATCAAAAGATCAGTTTTATTCTACAGAGTGAGCGCTCAATGCGCACTGATTTTTCCAAAAACTGATGACAAGGATTATGATATTTTGTAAAAATTAGTGCTATCGCACTGATTTTTATAAAACTAGCGTTGGAGCGTTGGCTTTTTTAGTACCTTTGAAGTGTTGAATCTTCTAAGTAATTACTTACCGTGAAAGCTTTAAGAGTTTAAACGAAATTTTCTGCGAAAGCGTCAAATTTTTACAATTAATGCAACCGCGATAAATTTTGGTGAAAATTACTGCGAACACCCATCATGATGGGCTGATTTAATGCTTCTAGGCTTATTCCCTAGTGAAGGCCGAAGAACTCTCTGCACCCCTGTTCAAAAATCACCGCGAGCAACTATTTTAAATTTCCCGGAGACTGGAGACGGAACTAATCCAATAAATGAAGGAACTTCCAGTTAGGTATTCATATGGTGATTTTTGCTATGATGATTCAATTGAAGGTCGGTGCCCCACACCGTGATTTGCCATTGTCATAAGTTCGCGGAAAAAGGACATCAGGCAACTATTTCAACTCCTCGGTGACGAAATTGCATACCCAACGAAATGAAGGAACTTTAAGGGAATGTGGTGATACGAGCCCTTTAACACTCTAAGTGAAGGCGTTTTTTGATTTCACTGTCCAGCTGTTTTAACTCCGCAGATATTAAAATTACACATGCACCGAAATGAAGGAACGTTGAGGGAATCTACTATGTCGTGCCTTCATAAGACGCTCTGTCGGATTTTTGCCCGTACCCCGCGCAATAATTGCGATCATTGGATTATTGGAATTATTTATGTATTCAATGTCCTTTGGGCGCACAAACTGTATTTCAACAGCGAAACTCCCAAACCGCGTATCTTGGTTTGCGACGTTGCAGAGTTCCTGTCATACTTTATTTTTTAATCACGTCAATTCTTAAAAGCTCTTTTTAAATAGGTACGAGCTCAATGAAAGGGTTTTGAAGGGGGTAGAGTTTTAAGAGTCATTTTTTTTCTAAAACTCCAAGATTTTCGAATAAATTTTTAACATTCGTTGCCAGAGTCAACGTCAAATAAGTTTACGTTAGAAGATCCGCCAACTTAATTCCTGCATTTCTTTCCAATGCTAAACGGGCGTCCTACAATCTTATACTGCAGTCTACAAGTGCATAAACTTATTTGGACTACGTTTTAAAACTTGAGCTTCAATTTCTGGCTCATCTGTAAAAACACTTGTGTGCGTAAGAAACCAAATGGTACATACGTTGTTTTCTAGACACACTGAAAAAAAAGTCGCTTGGATCCAGAGTCCAGACTCTTAAAAACATTGACAAGAAAAAGTACTCTTGATTTAATACAATTTTTTCTTGAATCGAGGAGCCGAGCCTCATGATCTAGGCGGATTTTCTTTTGATTCAAGCAAAAAGTCCGATTGAATCAAGAGTGTTTTTCTTGTTAACGTTTTTAAGAATCTGGACTCTAGATACAAGCTACTTTTTTTTCCAGTGTATTGTAGCTCCTAATTGCAAAATGTTGTCCATTTGGCGTGGATTCCCGATGAGATTCGCGCATTTCTGATCCCACATTCTGCACGTGTCGCTTCACATCAGTTTCCGTCGGTTTTGGCGCGAAGATTTGAACTTTGAAGCTTACAGCGGCCGGCGAGACGAGACGCAGCGGATCCCGAAAAAGGAAACCTGCGGCGCAGCTCTCGGCGAAACAGCGCGTCGCGCCAAGTTGCCAAATTACTTATAAATGCAGCTATTTTACATGGACTTGTATGGGGAAAATGCTGATTTTTCAGCTCGATCTAGCAACAGCGCGTCGCGACGCATCCCAAGTCCGCGATCCGCGAGTGACCATAGTGCACCACCTTCCCGACCCGGCAGGTCTCACCGCAGCGCAGTTCCCGACCCTGAGTTTCCCGAGCCGCGAGTGCGTCGACGTCGGCGTGTCTGTGATAAGTGTCTGTGTCTATGTGTTTACCGCCCAGAATTTTAGAGAATCTCACTAACGGATAATATCAAAATGTCAAAATGTAAGTACCAATATTCTCCGAGATTTCCGTCCCGATACCTGATCTGACCCAGCAATCGCTGCGTGGGAATTTCGCGGTCAAAGCACCCCCGAATTGCACATTTTTCCCTCGAAAAAAAAGATTTTTGAAAACTGCGGTGAAAATCACTTATTGGCCAGTTTTGCCCTTGAAATGGAGGTTTGGTTCCGCAGGAGAAACTGTGCAGTCGCCGACAGAACTTTCTGGCAATGGCCCTATCTTGAACCATTTTCGGCTGCACGTGGTGTTCAATTCAACGGTAATCGCGCCTTATCGAGCTTTACGTAACGCAGGAAAGTGTAACTTTGATCAGGAAAACAAAGTTCTTCCCGGGGGAAAACTGAGGAGCAGAAAGTGGAGATTTTACATATCGAGTTAAAGTTTAGTTTCTCTAGGTAACGTAAGATAGGTTAACGCACTTCTGTGACCGGAATTCTAGGCCGCAGGAAAGACCTAACTACATTTCAATGTTACAAAATTTGCATTCACAAATTGTATTTTTACGAGTTAAATATTAAGCATTTCTAACCGGAAACTTTACTGATTTTCTTTTTGATTGCTTGCATATCGGTAAAATTTTTAACTAAAATTACACGGCCATATCCTCACAAAAACTTGAATAGCTTGAGTCGATTTTACAACTTAGAAATGGAGTTACGTTCCTTCTTCTGAGGCGATATGCTTCAAACAGCCGACCGATTATTGATATTGATAGACAGAGCTATCGACAAAGAATAAAAAAGGAATATAAAGGGATCCTATTGGTGGAAACGGGTGGTCGCAATGGGCAAAACTGAATGCAACCCCCAAGAGACCATATAATTTGTCCATCATTTTCTCTCTAACTCTGTAGGAACCACCCTTTTCAACCAATAGAAATGCTCCATACTCCCTATATCTTCTTTTTCTATCGCTTTGTCTATCAATTTCAAGAATCAACCTGCAAGGTGCGTTCGAAAATTCCTAACCTGGTGTCTGAGTGGAGGTTCCGATCATTTTCACAATGATTCAGAATTCCTTTAACAAATTCCTGAGGTTCATATTAGAGCTTTCGAATGCAACAGGCGTATGCGCTGAAAAATTTTACCCTACTTGTGCTTTTTCACCTGAGAGTTAATTATTTTGTAATATATGTAGTGTTTGACATGCGAAATTTTAGTCGCCTAAATCATGTTATGCTAAAATCGGTCTTTTTTAATTGTGACCCACACAAACACAATAGAAAATTCGGAAAAATATCGGACGATTTGAAAATACTCACAGCCTTGGGAGAGGAGGTAAAGTCCAAAAATTCCTCTAGTTCCAATCCGAGGTATCCGTCAAAACGTACCTGGATAACTTGAAACTTCAAAATATCCAAAGTCGGAAGTTTGGCACAGCCTTCCCCGTGCTTTCCTGAAATTAAAGCGTATGGTGACACAAATCAGGGCAAAATTTTTACTGGAGGATACGAACGGTTTTCAAAAAACGAGGGGGGGCTCTAAGGATAAATGTTCGCTCTTTCTAACGCAACTTTCTTTAGTTACGCAGCTCTGTTTCCTCTTGAACTGTTCTTACCTGCGTAAATTAGTGCATTTTGTACAGTCTTAATTTAACGTAAATATTGCAAAAATGTATCTTTTAAGGGGTTGGAAGGGGGAGGGTGAAGTTATCAAATTTTGGACCATAATTTTCACCCTCTGGATCCGCAACCCCCCCCCCCTTCGTGTTTCAAACACCGTTCTTATACTTCAACTGAAATTTTCCCCGAGTTGTGTACCATCGTATGCTTTGATTTATGCCACATTTAGTCCAAATCCACGATGGCTATTTTGAGGGAGGAGAGGGTTACCAAGGCTTTTTCGGTTTATAAGAGCTGTCATTACGACAAAATTAGGGAGATTGCAAAAATCGAAACCCTAATCCCCATTCGCACCGGGAGGTGACCCCCAGATCTCTTCCAATTAGATTCCATACATTATTAGTCCCCCATATGCGACCTTTTTTTCGATGTGACTGACGCAGGTATTTGAATGGTCTGCTCGTATTTCAACATTCTCCTATCACGCGGTTCTGACCTATCCTTTCAAAACTAAAGAAAATTATCATGATTCACTCAAGTTATACGGATGCTGTTCGAAAGTGAGAATGTGTTCCCCCTCTGTACTTCAACATTTTTGCCTTAGTAAGCACATAATGGAGCGATTGCATGAATTTTTCCGAAAGGAACTTTATCGCGTTTCATGATTCGACGTGAAGAATGTCGTATCAGGAATTTGGCCCTATGCTAGTAAACAAAGTCCCACACTGTTGTTGGATGAAGGTAACAGGTGCTCATGAAGCGAACAGGTGGAAGACAATATACGTAAGAAGATGGCGAATATCACTTTTTTTGCTCTCAGGTTTTTTGTAGGTATAGGTCCCTGTTGTGGATAGGTACGGGATTCGGTATCTCTCCCCTTCAATGAATTAGGTATAGGAAGATTGTGCTCGTTTGGGCACATTTTGAAAGTAGGCTCCTTTCGGCGGGAAAAATCAATCCCCCTCCCCCGCCTCCATTTATTATTTATTTATTTTTTTATTTTTTTTATTTTTCTATTTTTTTTTTTTTTTTTTTTTTAACGGACGGGTTAGGTGTTTTACACAGGCGAAAAAAAACCGTGGTTCATATAGAACTCTGAATTTTTCAGTCATGGTAACCGAACTTCAAATTCAGGTAATTGAAGTTACGTTGACCCCCTGTGGCGTGGCATGCTTTGCGCGATATACAGATTGATCTGCCATTTAAACGCATGGAAAAGGATCGATGAACAGGGAGTTCGCAACGGACTTTTTAATAATCGATTCTTTACCACAACTTCAATTGGGAAAATATCGATAATCGATCATTAACGCCTCACCACTGGTTGCTCTAAACTTCGTAGACCGAAGTTTTGTATTCCTTACAGAAGACATCTGTCATCTGCACTGAAGCTTTTTTCCCGGAACTCAAATTTTCGTTCATTCTGATCGAAAACTTCAATGATTGATATGAGCTGATAATGAGTTTCAATTCTTGTATCCGAAATTTTTGTCTCCGTGTGTAATATGACAATATTTGATGTGTTTTTAAGTTCATAAAACACAGCACCTTGCATTATGTAAATACTTATATACCGTCAAACGAAAACGAGGACCGCCCACTAGAGGTATCGTAAAAATACCGAAGTTTTAGTCACAGATTGTGCTAAAATTTTACTTTAGGGGAGGGGAGCCGTATGACTTTTTCACAAAAAACCCAGTGACATGGCTCAAATGAAGCATACATGTGAAGCCTCGGGGGAAAATGGTGCGACTTCGATGTCATCACTTCAAATAATCATTTTCTAAAGTGCTTGCAAAAGTCGTCCAAAAAAAAAAAAAATGCCATCTCGCTGTGTTTGACTAGCTATCGCTCACATTCAAAATACCTCTTATGAGCTAGTCCTTTCCTTGAAATGACCAGTTTGGGATGCGATGGGTCTTGTAATCTCTTGTTCATAAATTCTAGTGCCCGCAGAAATCAAAATTCTCCGAGATAGTAATTTTTTACTGGATATTTTCAGAACTCCAAAAAAATCTACCTTTCCTGAAAACGACAAAGTTTTCGCTTAGATTATTAATCCTTTTATCAGGCACATTATTTTCAAAATTGATTTTGCTTAGTTTAAAGGTACATCAAATATTGTCAATTTTTACAGTTTATTCAAATTTATTTCAAAATTGCACTCTGACGTTATTCTTTCACCAATGACGAAGAATATCTGAAAGTTTGAGCTTTTCCAACCAATCTTATCAGTCAGTCGTATGATCTGAATGTAAAATCGCAGCTCATCTTTTGATATGCGCTAAAAAAACGAAGGTTATGTCATTTTATTTTGAAGGAACTGATAATGCGTAGCGACGTTCATGTGTTGCGTACTGAGGTTACGATGAACTTGAGGAATGACAATTTACCTCATAAGCTTCTTTGAACTTTGGCTCTGTTTAATCTGTCTAATTTCGTTGACTTGCTCTCGGCTCTTTAGCGGGAAATCGGTAAAAATAAACCTTGGGTCCACACATAACAGCTTGCTGCCATTCTGTAGAGAAACGTAGGTACACACTCTTTTGACCTTGATCTCCGGCGACCTTTGACCTGGAAGAAAGCTCCGCCTCGCTCCCAAAGGCGATTCTCATAAGTTGGTATAACTGTTTTTCCTCTATTTAAATCCATCATAAATATCTATTCTAGAGGTAAGCTGCCTTACCTATAATTGATTGTTGTTTTGCATACACTTAAATGGAGGAAAGATAGTGTTACCAATTTGCGAAAATTTCCAAAAAGTGGACTGAAATGGCTTACGTAAAGCTTGGTTTTTACGATCACAATGAGGCCATCACTATACCGCAATGGGTCATCGATGCGGCTGTTGAAGAAAAACGAGAAAAAGGGAAAAAGTAGCGGCGCCTGTTAATTTTGGTTGATAACACTCAACAGGCGCATCGATGACCAATTTTGATGGGCTCACTTTGATCGTTGGAACCAAGCCTCTAAGACGGATCCAAGAAAC